TCAAAAACTTAAATATTTAAGATTCAAATCTTGATCACAATAAATGACAAAAACAGTTGTTGAATTTTGGCCTAAAAGCATAATTTCTTACCCGAAGTAGTGATTGTTTGTGTAGACACCTCCAGTATCTGAAACAGAGAAGAGCTATCATTATAACTGAGAAACTGCGGATATAAAAGCATAGATTTGTCACGAAAATATGATAATAATCAGTTACCTTCTTAGCAGCAGAGATCTGAGTGCTTCCCATTACACACTATCGAAAATGGAAATTCATCAAAAACAAATTAAAGAGAAGTAATTATTAATTATGATATTTTGGATAGTTTTAAAGAAATGGTTTATCTTAGTGTACAGGATAAAAAGCAATTATTGAGTAATAATTATTACTTGTTATCTTGAAAAAGATGAAGTTGATTTTTGTTTATGGTAAGTGCTAAGGATTTTTTATTGGTTTATTTTGATTTAAAAATTAAAAAACTTGTGTTTTTGATTCAAAATTTTATCTTTTTCATGAAAAATGGCAACAGTCCACTACTAAAATCCCTATCTTTAGCAACATGGAAGCACATTGTAGAAAGTGCTTCCCATGTTGTTGAAAGTCCTTCAGTAATGTAGTTCTTGTTGCTAAAAGTTTTGTTGAAAAAGCCTTGGTGGGTGATACATTACCAATAAGAATTTTGTTGTTGATACATGGTGCCTTATTGGGAAATTTTGGTAAGTAGCAACTGTTCCAAACTTGATTTCCAATTTATTTAGTTGATATTTTTATTGGATTGAAAAGCTATTGAGGAGATATCAAGTAAAAGAATTGGCTCTGACTGTCTAGATTGTTACACTTGGGTAATTCAAATAAAAGAAAGAAAAATGTTTGATTTTGATCCAAACAGACAGCTTGACCTTGTGTTAGTAATCTGGCCATAATCTCCTTTATAGGTTTCAGATTAAGGAGATTCTTGATCTTATAGAAAGTTAAGACATAGGGCTACAATTGATCAATTAACCATTCAACCTAGTTTGGTTGAGTATGGTTGCAAATTTAGTTGAAAGTTCTGGTTCAAGATCTAACGAGAACTTACCCTCAAGCTCTTGCTAATTTGGTGTTCAATTTCCCAATCCTTGGCTCTATACTTTGTCTTTACTCTCTCATTCTTAAATATCTTTGATATCCAAATCCTTGGTTCTCGAGGAATCTTAATTCTCTGCAAAGTAAGGTAAGTAAATTTATGATCTTGTCAATGCTTTTAAACTAAGGTTTTAAAGGTATATTTTGAACAGTTTTGAGATGGTAGCAATACCTAACACAATTTATGTTGATATGAGCATGACATGTTTTGATATTAATTTTTATAATTGTTATTTCTTGAAGCTTGATCATGCTTCTTTCATGAGATATACCTATTGAAGCAATCTGAATTATGTTTTTTTGTTTAAATGCCTACATTATTTTATCTCCAATTCTATCGTGATTCCTGTTATCCTACTAGTGAAAGTGTAAACAATGGATATTTATGTTATGATGTCATTGGGAGTCTAAACATTAGTTATTCTTGTTATCATGTTAGTCTGTAAACACTGGATATTCTGTTATCCTACAAATGGAAGTGTAGACATTGGATATTCCTATTATCCTATCAGTGGAAGTGTAAATACTAGATGTTCTTGTTATCCTGCTGGTGGGAGTGTAAACACAGGTTATTTTTGTTAAATAGCCAGTAAGAGTGTGAACACTAGTTATTCCTGTTATCTTGCCAATGGTAGTGTAAGCACTAGCCATAACTAAGTGAGAAGACCAACGAGGGGTTGGATCAAGTGGTAAGCGGCTTGTTCCAGCTTAAGCAAGGTCTCGAGTTCGAGACCTTGTGTATTCAGCAGCCCCCGCTGGGAGACTCACCCACCATTTCCAGGTGCGCGACGCGGGTCAGGTCCGAATTAGTCGGGACGAAGCCCCGGATACCGGGCGGGAAACCAAAAAAAAAAAATAACTAAGTGAGAAGACCACTAAAGGATTTTATTACACATTACTAGATTGAGATTGGAAGTACTATTTTGCTGTTTCTGTATCTAGCAGGCTTTCTTTTAAATTAAAGTGGGGCTATCCATAAATTACTTATTGAATTATCTCATGTCATTTTTTTTGCTTTCTTGTCCACCATTTTAGGTAATGAGACTAGAGATTTTGGGATCAAGGCAAGTGACACTAGTTGGCTAGTTTGCTCATTAATGGATTGAGACCAAATTTTGGTTTTATGCATAATTTAACTTGGTTAGATATTTGATTATAGATTTTAGATTATGTGAGTTATTTTATTTTTTTATAATGGATTCTAGTGAATTATTAGAAGATATGGATTGTTGTCTAATATATTAAATATGTTTTAAGTCTTGTACACTTGTGGGATCCACTCATGGGTGTATGGTGTCTGATTTGCTCTTGGTTTTGATGCATGATGGAAACACATGATAAGGGAAATGTGGGAGACTATTAAGAAGGACATGGTGTGGTTTGTTCAGGAGTTTCGTAGTAATGGGAAAATGTTTTCAGGATTCAATGCCTCATTTGTTCTTATTATGAAAATAGATAACCTACAGAAAATAAAGGATATATTTGAAGCACATCTCACTAATAGGAGTCACGTATAAAGTTATAGCCAAGATTCTAGTTAACAGGCTTTGGTCGATGATGGGTAGAAGGAATGCAACTGGTTGGAGAAGTAGTGGTTGCAGGCTAATGAGGTGATTGATAAGGTAGAGCGTAGCAAGAAGGCTAGCTTTTTTCTGAAGTTAGATTTCGAGAAAGCCTACAGAGTGAGGGATTTAGAGGATAATGGAGAAGAGCGACAGAAGAGTACGTCTCTCCTTATTTGGGTAAGCTCTTTAAGAAATGTGGAACGATATGGAGAGGTAATAAAGGTTCGTACTCCTTCAATTGAAAAAAATTTAGGGAGATTGCATTTATTTTTATTTTTTTAAAATATAATTAAAATTTTTATTTTAATTAATAAAATTATAGAATTTTAATTAATTTTATAATAATTTTCTCTAATTTATTTAATTAAATAAAAATATAAAGGACTTGTTTAACCTGTGTTATTAGGACACAAATTAAAAGTGTATTAAATACATTTTTTTGTTACAAATTTATGTTGAAAAAATAAAAGTTAATATTTAATTTATCATCCATTTAATTAAATTCACCCATTTAGTACTGATACTAAAATTAATCTCAATTTTTATAATTTTTTATATACATTTATAATAAAAAAATCCTTTTAACCTATATCCTAAGTATATATATTAGAAAAACCCAAATATAAAAGCTTCCCCTCTCTTTTCATTCAAACATGAGAATTTTACCGAATTATAATTAATTTGATCCTTTCCATGTCTAAACATTTAAACATTAAGTATAAAGATACTTTGAAGAAATGGACAAACTTTCGGAAACATGCAATGACTAGCTACTGTTTTGCTAATTAGTAATGATGTCCACAAATATACACGAAAAATACTGACAGCAACCATGACAAGACACAGAATTGGACCTTTGAGAGTGATTTTGAGAGAAAACCACAAAAAAAAAAAAAAAAAAAACCACCTCTCTAACTGGGTTCTAGTAGGTTTTGTTGTGAAATCCCTCTTCCAATTTTAGCCAAATCACTCAGCAAGTGATGAGGGCATATGGTAAGCCCACTATAGCACAAGATCAGGCATAGTAAACTAAAGAGATGGTGTGGAGAGGAAAGCTGGATGATCAAAGAAAAGGTGTTCATGGTTTCTACAGCTAGCAGCCCAAAGGGAAAGAAAATGTCTGTCAAGGGTGTAGCCTAACAAAGGAAGAAAATTGAGAGCATGCACCAAGTCATGTTCACCATAAAGTTGAATCTGATTTATGACTCTAAGGATGTTGTAGATTAAAAGAAGAAAATTGAGCAACCTTCAGAAAAGAGTAGCAAAGCTCCAAAAATTTATTAAAGCAGTGAATGTAAGCAAGATGAAGCTGTATCAATGAAGGAGGAGCTGATCTGCTAAGGAAGATGGCCATAGCAACAACAACAAATCAAAACCAAAGCATAAAGAATTGCAAATGGCAAATTCCAACTTGTCCTTGCTTTGGTTTTTTTAGGGGTGGATTTATCTCCACCCTTTATTTGAGAAGTGAATTTAGCGGTTTGGCAAAAAAAAAAAAAAAAATTATGAATAAACATGTGAATATTGCATCCTATTTGAAAATCTAAAACAACCCACTCACTACAAGGAAGTCATATGTCTAAAGTATTTATCCGAAATTCAATATGAAACAAACTGAAATTACACAAACCCAATTGAGTTTAGTCAAGATCAAAGATCAATTGGGTTAACCTGAAATGATTTAATTAAAATTAATTAATTTTTTTGAGATTAAAAATTAATTAATTTTTTTGAAATTAAAATTTTAATCAATTATACTTTTAATTTTAATTTGTAAGTATAAAATAAAATTAAAAATTATAAAGTAATTATTATTTATTAAATTATTAAAGTTAATATTAATTTATTTTTTATTAAATAATTAATTAATATTAAAACTTTTTGAAAAAAGAGAAAACATTAAAAAATTTTAATTTTAATCTTAAGTTTTTAAAAAATTGAATCTATATAACCCAATCTAACATTTGTCTAAGGAGACCATAAGTCTACTCTTTTAACCTAAAATTCCAATCCAATAAAAGCGAAATTAGAGATGACTGAAGACTAATGACCCATTCTGAGCCCACCCAATACAAACTGTTTGCCAGTCTAAATGTGAACGTTCTTCCCTTTTTCTCATCCCCGGTAACGTCTTCAAAAATGGTTATTAGAAAGATGCTGCCTTCTCCTTCGGCTTCCCTCGCCAAAGCATTATCTTTGTCTTCTACTTCACAACAGTCTGCTCTCATGACAGTACACCTGCTACATCCAAACCCAAATCTTTTGCTCCAAACCCACATTCCCTGCACCAATTTCTCACCAAACAATGCAAGTCTGGTGCCATCACTCTACATGAAACGCTGCAATTCTTTGAGTAAATGACCGCATGCACCCCACTCCTCCCATTTCAGCATTCAATCATTTGTTAGGTGCCCTTGCTAAGATTAACCACCATCACCATGTCGTTTCGTGTTACACAGGATTGAATTCAATTGCCTTATTAGTACTTGATATTATGACTTTCAACATCTTGCTTAATTGTTGTTGCTATATTGGTCGAATTTGCAATGGCTTGTCGATTTTGGGAAAGATTTTGAGGGGTGGTTGTAGCCCAGATGCTTTCACTTTCAACAATTTAATTAGGGGGTTGTGTGTGAAACAGAAGATTGGTGAAGCAACTTGGTTGTTTAGAAAGATGACTGTGTTTGGTTGTCAACCTGATGTAATTACTTATGGTACCGTTATTAATGCCCTCTGCAAGCATAGAATGTTTGAAAAGGCGAAACAACTTTTCTCTAAAATGAAAGATGGAGGAATTTCTACTAACGTGATTGTTTATAGCTCCCTGCTCCATAGGTTACGTTGTATGGGGAATTTGGATGAGGCTAAAGGCCTATTTTTCGTCGAGATGCTGGATGAAGGAGTGCAACATAATGTGGTAACTTACAATGTTTTGATAGATGTCCTTTACGAAGGAGTGATTGAAGAAGCACAGAAATTGGTAGATTTGATGATTCAAAGAGGTGAGCATCCTAACACACTAGTTACAATAAAATGATTCGTTGGCTGTGTAAAAATGGGGAGTCGCAGAAGGCAAATGTAATTACTTATGATATCATTATTATGGCCTCTGTAAGCATGATATGGTTGAAAAGGCAAAACAACTTTTCTCGGAAATGAAGAATAAAGGAATTTCTCCAGATGAGAATGCATATACCTCCCTAGCTACTTCATAGTTTCTATTATATGGGGAATGTGGAGGAGGCTAAAGCCTTATTCATCGAGTTGCTGGATGAAGGAGTGTGACATAATGTGGTAACTTTCACTATTTTGATAGATTCACTTTGTGAAAAATGGAGGTTGCAAGAAGCAAGTGAATTGTTAGACTGGATGATTGAGAGAAGTGAGCATCCAAACATGGTAATTTACAACACATTGATTGATGCACATTGTGAACAAGGGAGGATGGAAAAAGTGAATGCATTATTAGACTCAATGATTCAGAGAGGCCAGCATCTTGACATAGTTACTTTTAGCACGTAGATTGATGCGCTTAGCAAAGTTGGGAGAATGGAAGAAGCAAATTCATTGTTTGAGTTGATCATTCAAACAGGTCAACATTCTAACACAATTACTTATAATATCTGTTGTTCCTCAAACATTCTTCTCTATCTTCTCATCATATCATTGTTGTGTTTTGATCACAAAATCAAATAAAATAATAATTAATGAACTTATAAAAAAATATCAATAAGAAATTATCATTAAAATAGGTGTAGAATGCTTATTTATTTTAAGACGATTCACATTTCTATGGAAAGTAGATTGACTAGTGCAAAAGAGATATATATAGCAAATCACCTTCAGGATGCTATAACTTTATAATAACACTTTATGAATTTGCATTATTCATGGAGTCACCTAACTCAAAACATCTTTTTTTGCCTAAGAATATTTAGAAAATAAAGTAAGGTAAGAAAAATAAGAGAACGTGAAGGAACACCCTTTTTTTAGTAAAAAAAAATGTTTTATCTATAGGATTCATGGGATTATAATTCTCATTTGTAGGTTAATGATAAGAATAAATTAGGTAATTATTATAAAATAATATGCCATTAAGTAAGATAATTAATCTATAATGACTAGTTTGACTGAGTTTTTAACAGAACAATAAATTTAATTTATAAAATATATTATTTTATTTTTTATTAAAATATTTAAATTTCAACGATACCATGGTCAATGGACTAGGTAGAGGTGGGCAACCGGGGGAGGCAAATGAATTTTTAAATAAAATGGAGGAGAGAGATTGTACTCCAAATATGGTGATATTTAATACGCACTCATTTCCTTTTTCTCCAAAAACAAGGCAACCTCCGAAGTTGTGAAATTTCTACACATAATGGTAGAGAAAAAATTTTATGCATAAAAAAATTTATCTCCTGATACAACAGCCTTTTCCATTGTCTTAAATTTACTCTCAAACTTGAAGGATAAAAAGTGTCAAGAACTTCTGAACTCGCTCCCAACATGTCCTGCCGAAGAGCACCTAGGTAAATGATAGACAGAATCTTGGTTGGCTAGATTGATGTTTTGGTTGCATTGAATCATTCGATGGAATCAAGAAGAATTTTAGCAAAGTCTACTTTATTTGTTGGAGTTGTATAGTATTCTCAGTCTGAGCCAAACTGGAGGTGACGCAGTTAATCTTTCCTGTAGAAGAAAACAAGAGCAGGGTCTGAGTTTGCATAATTCAATGGTTATGGTGCATGGTGATGTCAATTTACATGGAAAGAAATACTAAAAGCTTGAAATTGCAACCATTACATGACAACAAGGTCCGATAGATTCAAAAACTTCTCTTCATTAATTCTGTTGAATGTATTAGTGTTAAATAGGACTAAATCTCATTTGTGCTCGGTGCATAGGGTTGATATGTTCTGCGTAGTGAACAAGAGATGTCTGCAAATGTGATAGCGTTACCCTTTCTTTTTTTTGGCTTAATCTGATTTTTTTTTTAAAAAAATGGAATTTTCTGTGTTGTTTTTGCATAATACTATAAATTGCTACGGATGAGTAAAGAAAAATTGTTCACAAAATATAGAACCTGGGTGTAGGTGAAGTGAGCCATTTGATGATTTCCCCTCCCCCCCTCCTTTTCAACTCACGGTTATATTGCCTTTTTTGTGTGTGTGTGTCTGTGGCTAGCTTCCTTATTCTTTCTTTGATTATGCATGTTAGGCATTGCTGAAAAACAGGTCTTGTGTTTAAAAATTTTTCTTTAGTTGACAGACTAGGGTGAAGTTTCAATTGGTTCTAATTATATCCTGTTAATTCTTTTATATTTTCGTTTATTATAACTTTTTTTATATAAAAAGTTTTTGCTGTTTAGCATTACAAAATTTTAAAATTTTGACTTTAATGTAAAATTAAAATTATTTGAATTGGTGAGTATTAATTCGTTTAAAGTTTTGTTATATGGTTCATTTTTGTTTATAAGCTCATCTCGATGTTATAAACCCTGGAGGAACTGCTTTGGAGCTCATTGATTACGGATCACTGCACAGAAATCCTGTATCGAAAATAGTAGAATACGTAACAGCGTATAACATTATTGGAAATTAGAAATCAAAGAAAGGAAAATGAAATTTCCAAGCACAGAAACGGAAGTAGCAGAGGCATGGTAGGAATGAGATGGGCGAAAATGACATGTATCTTATCATCTTGACATTGCTGGGACGACCGCTGGAGCCAGGGTCAATCCTCGCTTTTGTCTGTCCATGTTAGCTTCCCATCCTACATTAATCAAAATCAAATAAGTAAAAAGAACCAGTCAATGCAAAACTATTTAGAAAAA